AAAGATAGTGCTTCTTCATCGATAGCATGGTGCAAATCATACAGATTCCGGAAAAGTGGGCCACTTTCGTTCTTGTCTGTATCTACGTCGCCATTCGCAATCCGCCCGAGCTGCAGTGCGCGATTGTTGTGCCGGCCGCACAAATCTTTGTGAAGGAGCTGGCATACCAGGACATGCAACTCCCAGCAAATCCGGTTGCCTTTAACAACGTGTAGGCATATCCCAACTTTCTTATAGCACAGACATAGACACGTGCGTGCAGTAGCATCAACAATCTATCCACCGACGGGCATGTTGACTCAGCTTATTCTAGCGTAGTTTATGGCCTCGTCTTTTTTACTTTTGCAGCAGTAGGGTGGACAAATTCTCCTGGTTCTTGTGATGAACTCGTGGGAAGCGGAGATGGTGCGACACGAACCAAAATTAAATGGTTGTATCGGTGAATCAATTCTGCAGTCATGACCTTTTAATTAATCCTTCTGTGAGCAGCCAGTAAACGTCTGGATACAGTAGGCTAATCGCAAAAGGGTTGCATCGAGGAGATAAACGAAATTCGTGACAAATCCAGGCGGACTACAAGCTTTGCCGGGCTAGCTCGTTTGCTGTCATTCACAAGCTTTAAAATGTAGTGGTACTGCTCAAGCGAGTTGTTAGTAGCCGCGTAGCCTGTGGGGGTATGGAAAGCTTGCCAGTGCGAAAAGCGGGCTTTAATTATCCACTGCGAAATAATGTGATTTTCCACACGTCGAAACCGAGGAGATTGCATTCCCCCTCCCCCCCCTGGCCTCACCACCAAATCTTGTTTACAAAGATTAGGCTTCTCCTTGATAGCATGGTGCAAAATCATACAGATTCCGGAAAAGTGGGCCACCTTCGTTCTTGTCTGTATCTACGTCGCCATTCGCAATCCGCCGAGCTGCAGTGCGCGATTGTTGTGCCAGCCGCACAAATCTTTGTGAAGGAGCTGGCATGCCAGGACATGCAACCCCAGCAAATCCGGTTGCCTTAACAACGTGTAGGCATAATTCAACTTTCTTATAGCACAGACATAAACCCGTGCGTGCAGTAGCATCAACAATCTATCCACCGACGGGCATGAA